CATTTAATTTTTAGTTTTCTGTATTCAGTGGCGTCTTCCACTGCATGGGAAGGGAATGCATTTATTAACTTAGCCCGGGAAGGGAATGCATTTATTAAACCAGCTCGATCAGTAGCTAGTGCCAGCAATTTGATCTGTCATCTCCAGCTGCAATCTGGGCATGAAAATTCAGATCTATTAAGCATTTCCTATATTGAATTATAGTCTTGTACCCAATGCTACTATCAATCTTAACATTACCTTTAAGCGAGCCACATGTTAGGCAGTGGCATCCCCCTGGATTGTTAGCCCAACCTCAGGTACTATGCTTCAGCCTAACTCATATCATGGAAAGAAGATCAAATTGTTCTAAGATAAAATCATTTTCCAGTTGTCACAGATTTCAGAAGAACTGCCTAAATGATACTACTTTCCCACTCCACCTTGCTAATTCTCCTAGGTACTTCATGAGTTTGTCCCAAAGTGCAACCAAGCTAACCAACTGCTTATGGGGAAAAGAGACTGATTTAAATAACTTGTCCCCTCTTTGTACTAAGCTCTGGAGCCCAGTGAGATTAGGGCGATTGTTGCTTTGTAACAATTCCCTTACCAAAAATTGGCTTAAGCAGGTTAACGAAACTATTCCTTTCCTGGACAATTATACCAGAAACAATATGATTTGTGCTCCTCTTTGATATGTATTTTTATGTGGAGGTTCGAATTATAGCACAGTAGAAGATTCAAACCAGACGACAGCCCCTATGATTGGGAATTGCCCTGCTTGGATGGTTGAAGGACGAAAGCGCAATGCACACTAGGTGTCTTAGGAGTTTCCATAAATATCCATTCTTATACTGAAAATATACATTGGACTGGTGTTCAAATTAAGAGAGACTCTATGTTAGACCATAATCCAATAGCTGATAAACCTGGATTAGGATGGGTGTTCCTTCGAGCACTTTTACCCGATCATGATATTACCCAACTTAAGAAATCCATTCATAACTTATCTGCCACCCTGGCTCAGACTGCAGATGACGCTGCAGACAGAATGGCTGCTCAGCAAAGATCTTTAGAACCTCTTGCTAAGGTGGTACTACACAACAGAATAGCTCTTGATTTCCTTCTAGCCCAGCAGGGAGGGGTTTGTGCTATTGCTAATACCTCCTGCACATTTGGCTAAATACCACTGGAGAAGTAGAACAAGACATCAGGAAAATTCACCAAAAAGCTACTTCGCTGCATTTAATACCTCTTATGCCTGACTCTCATTTTCTAGATATCTTTAGTTGGTTACCAAAAGGTATTGGCTCCTGGCTGCATTTCATAGTATAACTGGCTTAATTCTTTCACTTTTTTTTAACTCATCATTGTAGTATTAATCAAACGTTGTATGAAATGCTTATCTAATGCCTGCAACCAAAATGAAACTCCACTAACTATGCAAAGAGTAATGTATTTCAAGGAAGCTGAATTCTTGGAAGAAAACTGACCCTAAACCCCAACTGGACATTTTACCACATATTATGTGGGTACCTCCTTTTAGTTTAAGTTCTATTCTTAAAGCCCTTACCAGCATCTAGACTAATGAAGAGGACCAATCTTGTTTCCCTGGGTATTTTGTATTGACTGCTGTTGCCTGAGTTTGTTCTGAATTTGTTCCTCCCATCTGGCCCTCCCTGCCTGCTGCCATAACCTCACTAAAGATTCAATCATCCTAAAGACGAGGCCTATGAGCTCAGCAAGGTGAAGAAAATAATTTTTATTGACCAAAGCCCTTCAAGAAAGCAGAAGAAAGGATACTCAATTGTGGGTGATCAGTGGCCCCTAGTGGAGGCCTGAAAGGGGGAATGTGCTAGCAAAAATTCAAACAGAAGCATTCAGAGCAGGCTCTCTATAATGGGTTACCATGAACCACTCTTAGGCAAACAAGGGAGGGGATGAAGGAGAAGTGGTTTTTCTGGGAAAATGTGTACAAAGAATGTCCCAGGAAGCATGTAATGAAAACGTCCTTGAAAACTGCTTACTCAAACTGTTACTAAGAAATTTTTGTCAGAAAACAGATTAACCAAATGAAGAATTTTTTTTTTTAAATGTCTGTCATATTGTCACGCTGAACACCATGTATAAAAACTTTGCCCTTTTTCAGAATGGCAGAGCACTTTTTACTTTCACTATGTACTGACCAACTCAAGTTGCTATTCCTCAATAAAACTCTTTGATCTTACTCTTATCAGAGTACAAGATTTTCTTCTTTGACACAACAAAAAGACAAACAATCCAATCAAACAACAGGCAAAGAACCTGAACAAACAACTAACCAAAGAGAATATTCAAATGGCCAACAAGCCCATGAAAAGATGTTCAAGATCAGTAGCCACTGCTGTGTTGTTGCTGTTGTTGCAGGCCACTGCGTCGACTCCAACTCTCAGTGACCCTATATGACACAGTAGAACTTAGAACTGCCCCATAGGGTTTCCCAGGCTGTAATCTTTACCAGAGCAGATCACCAGGTCATTACCCACTACGGAAATGTAAATCAAAATCACAGTGAGATATCCCCTCACCCACATTAGAATGGCAATGATCAAATGATCAGAAAACAACGGGTGTTGGTGAGGTTGTGGAGAAACTGGAACTCTCATCCATTGCTGGTAGGAATGTATAATGGTACAGTCACTGTGGAAAACAGTTTGGTAGTTCCTCAATAAGTTGGACATAAAACTACCATATGACCCAACAATTCCAATCCTAGGTATATACCCAAAAGAAATGAAAACCAGAAAGCAAATAGAAACCTGTACACCAAAGTTCACTGCAGCACTTTACACAACAGCCAAACGGTGGAAACAATCAAAATGTCCATCAACAGATGAGTGAATAAGCTAAACATGGTATATACATACAATGGAATATTACTCAGCCATAAAGAGAAATGAAGTTCTGATGCATGCTACAACATGGATGATCCTTGAAAACATTGAGTTAAGCAAGTCAGTCGCAAAAAGACAAATACTGTATGATCTCACTTATATGAAATAAATACACAGAAACCAAAGATTATTAGTGGTTACTACAGGGTGGGAAGGAGGGGGAAAGGGAAAGTTTCTGTTTAAGGGTCACTGAGTTTATCTTACTTGTGGTAGAATATTTTGGAAAAGGATAGGGATAATGGTCACACAACATGAAAAACATAATCAATGTCACTGAAAAAATAAATGTGGAACTTGCTGTATAGGCAAATATTTTGTTGTGTATATTTTCACAATTAAAAAATATGTAAACTAAAAAAGAATTTAAAAAAAGGAAAAAAAAAAAAAACCATAATGACATACCAAAATCAACATAGTATTAAAAAGCAAAGATGTCACTTTAAGGACTAAAGTATACCTGACCCAAGTCAAGGTGTTTTCAATTGCCTTACATGCATGCAAAAGCTGGACTGTGAATAAGAAAGACCAAAGAACTGATGTCTTTGAATTACAGTGTTGGCAAAGAATACTGAATACACCACAGACTGCCAAAAGAATGAATAAATCTGTCTTGAAAGAAATACAGCCAGAATGCTCTTTAGAAGCGAGGATGGTGAGATTTCGTCTCATATACTTTGGACATGTTACCAGGAAGGACCAGTCCCTGGAGGACATCATGCTTGGTAAAGTAGAGGGTCAACGAAAAAGAAGAAGACCCTCAACGAGATGGAATGACAGTGGCTGCAACAATGGGCTCAAGCATAACAATGATCATGAGCATGGCACAGGACTGGGCAGTGTTTCATTCTGTTGTACGCAGGGTCACTATGAGTCGGAACTGACTAGACGGCACCTAACAACAACAACAACAACAACAACAACATGACGTATCACTACACCCATCAGAATGGTTAGAACAAAAATAGAGATAATACCAAATGCTGGCAAAGATGTGGAGAAACCACAACACTCATACATTGCTGGCTGGAATGTAAAATGGTACAGTCACTCTAGAAAAGCTGACAGTTTCTTAAAAAACTAAACATGTGCTTATCATATGACCCAGCAATTGCACTCTTGGGCATCTATCTCAGAGAAATGAAAACTTAAATATTCACACAAAAACCTGTACATAAGTGTTCACAGGAGCTTTGTTCATAATATCCAAAAACTGGAACCAAATCAAACGTACTTCAACAAGTGAATGGTTAAAGAAATGGCAGTATACCCGTACTATGAACAGTATTCACCAATAAAAGGAAGAACTGGCATACATAGCAACTTGGATGGATCTCAAGGGAATTATGCCACATGAAAAAAGCCAACCTCAAAAAGTTACATACTATGAGTCCATTTATATGCCATTCTTGAGATAAAGAGATTAGTGGTTGCCACTAGAAAGGTGCCTGTCACTAGAGAAGGATCCCTCTGCTGATGGAACTGTTCAGTATCTTGACTGTGGTAGTGGATATACAAGGCTACACATGTGATACAGGGCTTCAAATCAGTTCATTCTGGTTCAAACCCCTGCTGAGAATTTGCATTTCTAACAAGTTCCCTGCTCAGAATTGGCATTTCTACCCTAAACATACTGAATCAGAATCTACATTTTAACAAGATCCTCAGGTGATTCTTATGTATAACTTCCAGGGAACATATTAGAAATGCAAATTCTCAGCACAGAATTTGTTAAAAATGCAAATTTTTGGTAGGGTTCAAACTAGTCCATAGCCCTGATGTGATAATACAGCACAGAATTAAATAAACACACAGACACACACATGCACGCATGTAAAACTTGAAATCTGAGTAAGATGGGTGGATCACATCAATGTCAATATTCTGGCTGTGCTACTGTACTGTAGTTAGGAAAGGTGTCATCAATGGGGGAAACTGGTAAAGGGCAAATGGGTTCTCTCTGTACTATTTTTCAAACTGCTTGTGAATCTACAACCAGTCAAAAAGTTCACAAATCTAAACAACAGGCAATTCTGTTGAGACTTAAAAGTTTTTGAATAGAGAAAGAATACAAGTGAAGTAAAGTAATACCTTCCTCCATGGATTTAGTGAAGTTACACATCAGTGAAGATAAGCCCTTCAGACATCCTGCCACAACCGGCAGTTTGGGCTCTCTTACTGTGGATGTCATCTAAGAAGAGAGTTTGAAAAAGATATCATTAAAAGAGAAAACACATTCAAGTCCATGGAAGCAGAATATCCTATAGTTTATAGAAAGTCAAAACCATACCTGGGTCTTAAGTTCACCCAAAAAAGCCCGGAACAGTTTTTCTGAATTATTTACCATGTCACTAGGATGAACTTCGCCTAATACTCCTAGGAGCTCATATATTTTTTCTAAAACTGAAAAAAAAAATTTAGAAAAATGAAGGTCTAACTTACATTTAAATAAGTTAAACTAACAAAAATACGTGAATTAGCAAATAAGAGGCTGTTCAGTTCAAAAATAATTTCACAATGAGACAAACTAATTTCACAATAAGACAAAGTATCTAGTGCTTTATAATGGAATCCTTCCTGATGAGTTTTAATACTAATCCACTGTTGTAAATTAAACTGTATCTGCAATCTGTTGTGTTTTCTATTTAGAGGAATCATTTTGTAAGGATTAAAACTTTCATAAATAGAAATCATTACAGATCGTTTTTGTTTATTTTCATTTTGGTTTGTTTTCAGCAAAAAGGATTCATCGTTAAAACATATAAGGACCCTAATAGATGAAAACTAAATTTTATACTAAAAAAAATGTATATTAATGTGTTAAAATATTTTAGAATAATGTTTAAAACGCATCTCACCTGTATCTGGTAACTTTGTTTTCAAAGCAAGTTCTCCATAAAATTTGCTAAATAATTCTCTAACTTTGAATTCCTCCATGAGTCTAGAACTTCTCACAATCTGAAGTAACTGTAAGAACACAAATCAGCATTTACTAAAGAGGAAAATAAAGAAAAGGCTTTCATCTCTCTCAGTGCATGTGTACACAGCAGAGTCGAAGCATGTGTCTTTAAGGAAGTTACACAGGCCTCTTGAAACTCTTATCTAGCCAGATTATTTGGAGGTAGGATCTGAGGTAGGTAGTAGAGGGCCACTGGATACAAAGCAGGAAGACTTGATTTTACCTTCCCAAGAAACCAACAAAATGACTAGAACCATTCTCTCAGAGGTCCTCAAGACCAAGGACCAACCAGACCCCAAACCAAAAGAAACCTGTGGCCATCAAGTCAATTCTGACTCATGTTGACCCCATGTGTTACAGTAGAACCAGACCTAAAGAAGTCTAAAAGAGAGATGCAGGTGAAAGTGAGATGCAGGTGAGGGTGAGTACTGAGAACCATTTCAATACAACATATAGACCCATTCCTGTTGCTAAGGAATGAATAAATCTGCCAAAAGAATGAATAAATCTGTCTTGAAAGAAATACAGCCAGAATGCTCTTTAGAAGCGAGGATGGTGAGATTTCGTCTCATATACTTTGGACATGTTACCAGGAGGGACCAGTCCCTGGAGAACATCATGCTTGGTAAAGTAGAGGGTCAGTGAAAAAGAGGAAGACCCTCAACCAGATGGAATGACACAGTGGCTGCAACAATGGGCTCAAGCATAACAATGATCATGAGCATGGAACAGGACTAGGCAGTGTTTCATTCTGTTGTGCACAGGGTCACTATGAGTTGGAACTGACTAGAAGCATGTTTTTATAAAACAATTTTTATAAAAAATTGAGATACAATGAAGTGTTTTGATTTTTTGACAATTCCTAGTAGCATTAGGTTTTACCAAAGGGTATAAGGGTGAAAAATGGAAGAGCAGCAATTTCCCTAGTTACTTTCTCTCTTCACTCCTCTCACAACCCAAAATTCTCCCTTGGCTACCCAAAGAGGTGTGAGAACAAAATACCAGAGTATTGTCAGGTAATGGTTGGAAAGTGTGTATCAATGTGATCCGATCCTATCCTCCAACCTCTCACAACCCAAAACAAAACCCCAAAATCTAGTTTTATGTTTTATAAGTTGTATGTTTAATATAAAATGCATATACATAGAAACAAAATTACCTTAATAAGAAGGTCTAGGGCCGGAATTTTACATTTAGCAGCTTTATCTTTTGTATAAACACTGGTACAAGTATTCTAAATTTTAAAAGGAGATATACCAAAACATAATACCAAGTAAGACAAACTGTATTAAAGAACTTTATAAACCGTAAAGCATTCTACAAATGTAAGTTACTGCTACCACAGAGACAGTTTTTTTTAAATACTAAGATTCCTATCAAGAAAGACGAAAAGTCAAAGGGGAACAAAATCAAAGCCCACTTTAAAAAAAAAGGCTATTAAAAATAATAGTATATATTTCAATCTGAGACAATTTATAAAAAGATATTCCGTAAATTATAAATAGCTAAACGTATTATAATACAATAATTGGCTATAATAATTTATAATTAGCTAATGGGGCCCTAGCGGCACTGTGGGTTAAGAGTTTGGCTGCTAACCAAAAGGTCAGCAGTTCGAATTCACCAGCTGCTCCTTGGAAACCCCACAGGGCAGTTCTACTCTCACCTGTAGGGTTGCTATGAGTCGGAACTGACTTGATGGCAGCTGGTTTTTGATTTTTGGATAATATAAGGAGCCTTGGTGGTACAGTGGTTAAAGCACTTGGCTGCTAACTGAAAGAAAGGTCGGTAGTTGGAACCCAATAGCCACTGCTCAGGAGAAAAATGTGGCAGTCTGCTTCCATAAAGATTTCAGCCTACGAAACCCTATGGGGCAGTTCTACTCTGTCATACAGGGTCGCTATGAGTCAGAATTGACCTCACAGCAACGGGTTTTATAATACATATGTGAGGGAGTGCTGGCTTAACGCTCGGCTGCTAACTTAAAGGTTGCCGGTTAGAACATAGCCAGTGGCTCTGTGGAGATCCGTTCCCATCAAGATTACAGCCTAGAAAACCCTGTGGGGCAATTCTACTCTATCATATAAGGCTGCTATGAGTCAGAACCGATTCAACAGCATGCAACAACAGGTACAATCTACAAAATATTTTCTTATAATTTCTTGTAATCTTAGATTGAATACATACTTCTTTATAAACTCTTAGCTCACAAGAACTAAAAGCAAATTCAAGGCAAATAAGCACAACTTATGTGGAGACATGGCACTTGTTCAAAGTATAAGTCTGAGTAAGAACAACTCAATTTATGCTTACCAGGTTCCACAGTAAATCATGAGGCAGCCTATGTTGGGGTTTATGGTTGGTTTGTGTTGGGGGAAGGCAAGCCAGGAGCAGGCTCTGGAGAATGGGAACCTGAGAAAACTGCACTTTAAGACTACTGTCAAAGAGAACACCCAGACTTTAAGAAATATGGATCTTACCTAGTGGGAGGATTCTTTTAAATTGCCTTTTAAAGTGTTCTGTGATCTTGCCACAATTCAAAAGCTCTAATAATTATGACTTTTTGTAAAAAGCATTATAGATCCCATGTGCAAAAGACATCAAAATAGTTTCTGAAAAGAGCCTTAGCCCATTAAATCTATTTAAAAAAAAACAGAAAAGGAATATCCCAAATTTCTAACACAAACCTCCTTACCTTAATATCAAGAGAATAAGGTGTGATCTTCTGGCCAATTTTTTCCAAGAAAATAAATAAAAATTTTAGGACTTCTTCTCTACAATCACGAAACTATAATAAAAGAAATACACATATGATAGTAAATACAGGTAAAAATAAGAATCACTCTAATGTAAAGGAATATACAAGAAAAACAAAATGAAAAATTTCAACTTACTTCTTCAATGCTAAGTGATCTCCGCACAAATACAAGCAAACCAAAATCTCTGGAAAAAACTAAGGAAGTTTGTAATGCTGAACAAAAGAAAACAAATAAGTTGTGAGAGTTGCAAGAACTCCATTAACAACAAACCTACCCTAAGGGGGTTGCCAGAGTCCCAGGGTGGCACAAACGTTAAGCACTCAACTACTAGCCAAGAACTTGGTGGTTGGAACTCACCCAGAGGCTCCTGCAAAGACAAAAACCAAAAACCAAACCCGTTTCCGTGGAGTCGATTCCGACCCAGAGTAACCCTATGGGACAGAGTACAACTGCCCCACAGGGTTTGGTTTCCAAGGCTGTAATCTTTACGGAAGCCGACTGCCACATCTTTCTCCCATAGAGTGGCTTGTGGGTTCAAACCACTGACCTTGCACTTAGCAGTCAAGTGCTTAATCACTGAGCCACCAGGGCTCCTTCCTAGAAAGACAGGTTTGGCAATTTGCTTCTCAAAGGTCACAGCCTTGAAAACCCTATGGAGCTGTTCTACTCTGTACACATGGGGTCACCATGAGTCAGAATCGACTCAGTGGCAACTAACGACAACAACAAAAGGGGTTGCATGTTTTTCAATTCAGCCTTACAAATAATAAAACACTGACCTAAGGCTGCTGTACTACAAGGAAAACAAGAAATTCTAGATGATGTTCCACAAGGATGTAATAGGCAGAATAATGCTCCCCAAAGATGTCCTTGTCCTAATCCCAAGCCTGTGAATGTATTAGCGAATATGGCAAAAGGGAATTATGGTTGCATATGACATTAAAGGTTGCTAAGTAGTTGATTTTAAAATACGGAGATTAACTGGGATTACCTGGGTGGGCCCACTGTAATCATCCCCCCAAAAAAAAAACCCAAACCCCTTGCTGTGGAGTTGATTTCATGTCATGGCGACCCCATGTGTGACAGAGTGTAACTGCTCCATAGAGTTTTCTTGGCTGTTATCTTTATGGAAGCAGATCACCAGGTCTTTCTTCCGCAGCACCACTGGACAGCTTCAAATCGCCAACCTTTAGAAGTTGAGCACAAACCATTTGCGTCACCCAGGGGCCTCCACATAATCACATGGGCCCTTAAAAGTGAAAAAGGGTGATAGAAGGGTGGGTCAGAGAGATTGTGAGAACAGAGGAGGAGAGACTGAAGTGTGAGAGGGACCTGATCCACTGTTGGTGGCTTTAAAGATGGAGAAAGGGGGTCATGACCAAGGAATGCAAGTGGCCTCTAGAAGCTAGGAATGCCAGCAAGGAAACAGGGACCAAAGTTCTACAACCACAAGGAACTGAGTTCTACCAAAAACTTAATGAGCAAGGCAACTAATTCTCCCTAAGAGCCTCCAGAAAGGAATACAGCCGAGATGACAGTGATTTTAGCCTGATGTGACCCACACAGGACTTCTGACCTATAAAACTAAGATAATAAATCTACGCTGTTTTAAACAAGTGTAATATTGTTAGCTGCCAGTGAGTGTGCCCCTGACGCATGGTGACCACATGCCTCCACGGTCTCCACTGACAGGCTGCATGGAGGCAAGAATTCTATCACTGAACCACCAACACCCTCATTTTAAACACTAAGTTTGGGGTAACCGGTTATGGCAGTAATAGGAAACTGATGTTGTGTGCCATAGCACACAGTGACCTCACAGGACAGAGCAGAACTGCCCCATAGGGTTTTCTAAGCTGTAATCTTTAAGGGAGCAGATCACCAGGCCTTTACTCCCACGGAGCTACTGGTGGATTCTAACACTTGACCTTTTGGTTAACAGTGGAACACTTAACCATTGCACCTGCAGGCCCCTAAAGTGAAAGAATGTTATCATGTATACTGAGAGTAAATACAGAATTGCTTTAGGAACAAGTTACTAAAGGGACAAAAAGGAATTCTAACTTAAAAACCCTAAGTCTAAAAAATAATTAATGTTGTTAGTTTTTTACCTTGATCTTCCCCATTACTGACATACCCTTCACAATACAGAAGTACTACACAGTCTCTTACTTCAGGTGTTGTTTGAAGTATCCTTCCACCATATGCAACACTAACCTCTTAGGAAGAAAATCTCACCTGGCCCTAATTAAGAAGACACTGCTATAGAGGAGAAGGAGCCCTGGTGGCCTACAGTGGTTAAGCGCTCAGCTGCTAACCAAAAAGGTCGGCAGTTGGAACCCACCAGCCCCGCAGCGGGAGATAAAAGTCCATATACTCGTGTTTTAAAAAGGACGGTCGGAGACGAGGAGCCCTGGTGGCCCAGTCGTTAAGATCTCCGCTGCTAACCAAAAGGTGGGCAGTTCGAATCCAAACCCTCTGTCCTATAGGATGGCTACAAGTTGCAATCGACTTGATGGCAACCTGTTTGGGTTTTTTCGGTTTGCGGGGACGTTTCCTTGCATCAAAATGAGGAAAGGCTGGACGAAGGCACTTTTACAACAAAGGGAATTTTTTTTTTCTCACTCAGGCAATGTTACATACTCCCACAATCGTTTTAAAAGTAAAAACTGCAAATTCACGGGTTTGGAAAAGGTATTGGTGGGTTTAAAAGAGACTAAGGTGAAAGAAAATACTTTCCTCTACTTTTCTCCCCAAATTTTGGGTATCAATGACTGCTAAACTTGGGGACATTTTCATAAACTTTAATTTTAAAACACCTCTCCTCTAATGTCAAAAGAAAAAAAAAGGTAAGACAATCACTAGACTATCAAGCTACAGCGCAAACCGGAAACCCCCCACACGCGGGGCGCAGACTGGTACCCACCCAGCGCCGCGGGGCTGGCACCCAGCAGACACTCCAGGCCCAAGCCGCGGATCAGTTGATAACCGGCCATCGCGGCAGTGCCGCGGTCCACGGCTGACAAGTACTGCTGCAGCTGCTGCAAGGAACCTTGCAAACCCGCGCCGGTGGCGGCCATAGCGATGAACCTCGGCCGCACGCATGCGCACAACGGCCAGGGACAGGGAAAGACCGCGAGACGCGGAGGAGGCGGGTCTGACGGTGGGAGGGGCGGGGTTCGCGGCAGGGGCAGGGCTCACTGCGAAAGAGGCGGGGCTGGGGGTGGGGTTCGCGACAGGACAGGCAGCTGCGGGAGAGGCGGGACCCTGCCTGGGGGCCCGTCCTCTGGTAGAAATAGGTAGACAGACTCGTAGTAAGAGCAGGCCGCTTAGGCTGGGTTGAGGTGCTGGCCGGTTTCTGAAAGTGCAGCGCTTGATATATGTTGCGGGCACACGTGGGCGCGTAACGATTAGGGAAACACCTCGGTTTGACCTCGCAAATAGGTGGGGAGGGCAGGGTATTGGACGTAAATACTAGAGAGAGGAAAGAGACAGCCCAGGGGCCTGCAATCTAGAGTGCTGCAAGTTTGTTCCTTTACAGAAAGGAAAATGTATTTAGAAAGCCTTTAGAAACGAAACGCGCCCCGGGGGTGAGAGCCTGCGCGCCTCTTCCGCAGGGGCCCCGCTCTGCGCCTCGATTTCCCGCCAAGCCGGGCTCCAGCTCGGGCCAGACCACCTGGTGGCAGGGGCTTCGCCGAGCCGCCATTCCCCCTGTTGGGACGCAGTGGCACCTCCCGGGGCGGAGCGACGCGAGCGCGCCGCTGAGATTGGTGGGACGCCGCCGAGGGGCGCGGCCGGCAGTGCGGTCCTGTGCTAACCCGGGCGGTCCGGCGTTTCGCTGCTAGAAGCAGGACCGCGCGTCTGCATCCGCACGAGTCCGCTGAGCCTGCGGCCATCGTCTGGTAACAGGGAGGGAGTTGCGGGGGTGGGTGGGACCCGGACCCTCGCTAGGAATGGAGGCGGGGGTCTCGCCCGGAGGCCCGCGAGGGGGAGCGTCGGCCTGAGCCCCGCAGGGAGAGGAGGCGGGGGAGAGAAGGCCGGACACCCGCAGGGCGGGAGTGCGCGAGCCCAGTTTTCCTGTCCCTTAGGTGCCCGCCGCCATGTCATCCCCTGCGTCGACCCCGAGCCGCCGCGGCAGCCGGCGCGCCCGTGGCACCCACACGCCAACGCGTGAGTTCCCGCCCCGCCCTTGCGCCGTTTTCCCGCCAAGCCGGGCCGGGTCTCGCGGGGCGCGTCCTGCTGTTAGGGCCCCTGTGCTAGGACTGTCCTTGGAACGCAAGCAGCGCAAACCTCGCTTCCTCTCCTGGCCGCGGTGGTCCCAGGTTGTAATCGGTAGCTGTGCCTCTGCCCACTTGCCCCACTTTCTTTGATTCGTGCTTGTTAAGTAATGAATCCCCCTGTTCCCAGATTGGGACAGATCCCGGAGGACCAAGGGTGAGGCCGATGGTCGTTGCACTTTTCTGTTTTATGTAACAAGGTCAAAGTGAAGATGCCAGGTTATCGCCCTCTCAGAGACGGAAGGGTGAGGACTCCACTTCTGGAGAGCTGCAGCCCATGCCTACCTCCCCCGGTGCCGACCTGCGGAGCCCTGTCGCGCAGGACGCCCTGTTTTCCAGCCCTCAACAGTTGCATGCTTCAAGTACGTCTCCCAGGAGCTGGGTTATGTGGTGGTCAGTAAATAGACTGGGCTTCCAGGGATCATAATTGCTAATAGTAGATTCATCACCCCTGAGAGCTAATAGGACAAAAGAGCCGGAGGACAGAGCACAGAGATAGCACGTTCGGGCTAAACGAATAGGTAAAGTTTCTTTGTAGTCTTCAAAATCTCCGTCGCCAAAAAAGCAAACCTATTGCCATTGAGTTGATTCTGACTGATAGTGACCCTACAGGACAGAGGCTTTCCAAGGCTGTAATCTTTACGGAGGAGCCCTGATGGCGCAGTGACTGCTAACCAAAAGGTTAGCAGTTCAAACACCCCAGCAGCTCCTTGAAAACCCTATGGGGCAGTTCTCCTCTGTCCTGTCAGATCTCTATGCGTAGGGATTGACTCCACGGCAACGGGTTTGGTTTTTGGATAATCTTTATGGAAGCAGACTACCGCATCTTTCTCCTGCAGAGCTGGTGGGTTTGAACTGCCAACCAGATAGCCGCTGAGCACTTAACCATTTCACCACTAGGGCTCCTTTCAACCACAGTACCAAAAAAAACCCCAAACCCTTTGCAGTCTAGTCAATTCCAACTCATAGCGACCCTATAGGACAGTAGAACTGCCCCATAGGATTTCCAAGGAGCGGCTGGTGGACTCCAACTGCCAGCCTTTTGGTTAGCAGCCGAGCTCTTAACCACTGCACCATCAGAGGTGTGCAACCACAATAGATTAGGTTAAGTAATTCAGTGTTAAATTTAGATGACTTGGATCAACAGATAACACACTGTTATTTCAGGCTTGATGTGCTACTAGAATTGCATTGTAAATTTTCCAATTTTGTTTTTACAGCTATCCCTCTTGACTTTGACATTAGCTCTCCACTGACATATGGCACTCCCAGCTCTCGAGTGGAGGGAACTCCGCAGAGTGGTGTCCGGGGCACACCCATGAGGCAAAGACCTGACCTTGGATCTGCACGGAAGGGGCGGCAAGTGGACCTGCAGTCTGATGGTGTGAGCAGACAGTACAGTCTTTTGGTAACATCATTTGGGAAGTGTAAATGGGTAAATCTGTTTACACGGCTCTGTCATTTTTCTGTGTAGCCAACAACAGACGATTTAGTGGCAAGCGAGCCATCTCTAGGCCAGAAACTTGTGATTTGGGGAACAGATGTAAATGTGGCCACATGCAAAGAAAATTTTCAGGTGAGCTATACATTTAAAACTCCCCTCTTGGGAAGTCTAACCTGTATCCTGGTGTGTAGGTTGCTTAAGATTGTTGATGGGCTTTGGTTCTTGTTTTTTTGAGTTTTTAAGAAGGAATGCATTATTTATCCTCAAATTGTGACATGCTCATTAGTTTTGTATTTTAAATAGTTGTTTATTCCAAAACGCAGTAAGCTTAATTTTTTTTACTCTGAACGTTAAGAGATTTCTTCGGCGTTTTGTTGACCTTTTGGCTAAAGACGAAGAAAATGTTGCCCTAGATATTAAAGAGCCTCTATACATGCAACGACTTGAGGAGGTAATCAGATTTTCTTACTTCTAAATTCAAATTTGTTTTTTAAACTAACAAAGCTGCCAAAGTATAACATTTCTTTGCCTTATAGATTAATGTTATTGGAGAACCATTTTTAAATGTAAACTGTGAACATATAGAATCGTTTGACAAAACATTGTACAGACAGCTTCTCTGCTACCCACAGGTAAGAATTTGACTTTGACCTTGATGACTTACAGTGAAATATCTAGAAAGAATGTGCTTCTGGATAGTAGAGTTTCCTTGGTGATGGAGAGAGTATACCTCTAAAATACCAAAACATGTAAAGAAAAATGTGTTTCATCTATTTTAAGATGAACTCTTTTTGATACTTTGACACTTTTGAAATTGGGATGTGCGGTACTGCTAGTAGCATGTCATACTTTAATTGGCAATGTTTCTTAGTAGTGTATAAAATGATAGTGAATGTTACAATTGGTAGCGTCTTGAGTTTGACTAACTTAAATGGAGATATTTTATAAGTGCATTACACACTTCTGCCATCTTTGACAAAATATGTTAACCTTTCTGTAATCTTTTTCTTTTAGACTTAGGGTCGGTTTTTATTAATGAAAATATCCACATAAACTTTAAGAGGCAAGTAGACTTGGTCTTGAGTCTTGGTGTGCTGCTTACTAGCTGTGTAACCTTGGTCAAGTTTCTTAGCCTCCAGAATCTGGTTGCTTATCCACAAAATTGAAATAAACTATGATTTAGTTTACTTGGGTATCATTTTTTATTGCTATTAGGTGCCATTGAGTCAGTTCTAACTCATATACAACCCTATGTACAACAGAATGAAACACTGCCCAGTCCTGCGTCATCCTCAAAATCATTGCTGTTTGAACCTATTGTTGCAGCCACCATGTCAGTCCATCTCGTCAAGACGCTTCCTCTTTTTGCTGACCCTCTACCTTACCAAGCATGATGTCCCTCTCCAGGGACTGGTCCCTCCTGATAACATGTTCAAAGTTCATAGGACAGTCTTGCCATCCTCACTCCCAATGAACTTTCTGGCTGTACTTCTTCCAAGACAGACTTGATCATTCTTCTGACAGTCCATGGTATATGTTCAAGATTCTTCACCAACACTATAATTCAAAGGCATCAATTCTTCCATCTTCCTTATTCGTAGTCCAGCTTTTTCATCGATTTGAGGCAGTTGAAAATACCACAGCTTAGGTCAGGCACACCTTAGTCCTCAAAGGTGGTACCTTTGCTTTTCAGCACTTTAAAGAGGTTTTTTTGCAACAGATTTGTCAAATGCAAGCGTTGTTTGATTTCTTGACTTCTGCTTCCATGGGCGTTGATCATGAACCCAAGTACAGTAAAGTCCTTGACGACCTCAGTATTTTCTCTGTTTTATCATAATACTGCGTGTTGGTCCACTCGAGTGTGATGCCATTCCTCTTCAAATTGTCATTCCCAGCATAGTAGACCATGTGATTGATTCGAAATGATCAGTACCCGTCCATTTCAACTCATTAATACCTAGGGTATTGATCTTTATGCATTCCATTTCATTTTTGACAACCAATTTTCCTAGATTCATACTTTGTACATTCCATGTTCCAATTATTAATGAATGTTTGCAGCTGTTCTCATTTTGAGTTGTACCACATCAGCAAATGAAGGTCTCGAAAGCTTGACTCCATCCACGTCACTAAGGTCAGCTCTACTTTGAGAAAACAGTTCTTCCCCAGTTGTATTTTGAGTGCCTTCCAACCTGAAGGGCTCATCTTCCATCACTATATCAGTGTTCCACTGCTATTCATAGAATTTTCACTGGCCAATTTTTTCAGAAGTAGATTGTCAGGTCCTTCTTCCTAGTCTGTCTTACTCTGGAAACTCCACTGAAACCTGTCCACTGTGGGTGACCCTGCTGGTATTCGAAATAACCGTGGCATAACTTCCAGTATCGCAGCAACATGCAAGCCATCGCAGTACAACAAACTGACAGATGCATGGGGTATCATTTTATTATTGAGGAAAAATAAGGCATAAAAGTATGAGCTCAAAATCCCTTTTTTTTTTTTTTTTTTTTAAACAATTGAAAGCCCAAATTATGCCAAGGCGCTTTCATATATATTTAACTGCAAATGGCAATATCATGCAGAGATAAGATCGTTAAGTTTGCCTAAGGTTTTAACGGTCATGTGTATAATTATATACGATAATGGTTTTGGGTTATGACATGTTTTTTGTTTTCTATATATTTCATATGAAATGCTTTATTACATTTAACTGTCAAGATAGAAGTACAAGCACAGTAACTTCATGTTTGTTTGTATAGGAAGTAATCCCAACTTTTGACATGGCAGTCAATGAAATCTTCTTTGATCATTATCCTGACTCAATATTAGAACATCAAATTCAAGTAAGACCATTCAATGCCTTGAAGACTAAAAATATGAGAAACCTTAATCCAGAAGGTAATACTTCTAAAAGTAGAAAAATACCTTCCATGAAAATAGAAATTAATTAAGAAACTTTAAAAGAATTGGCAGTAGTAGGAAGTATGCTCATGGTTTATAAATTGACAAAACAATAGCAGATTCAGTTATCCTGTACACTTATGGGCCAGTAATTTTTTTTTTTTTTAACTGAAATCTTTTATAAAAGATGTGACTTGATCTCTATCTTAAGGTGAGCTTAATGGAAGTCTACAATTATTCTATTAAGTAGGCACTTTCTCACTAGAGTCACTAGAAGCAAACATGAAATATGGTCTCTGCCCTTGCACTTACAAAAGAAATTTAGTTGGGGAAATAAGAGGCAGAATGACAGAAATATAGTGCAGGAAATACCTTAGCCCAGGAGTAGAGCACCGACTCACAGTGGAAAGAGTCCACGAAGAGAGATTTGAGTTATACTTAGGATTAGGAGGCTAGAAATGAAGGGAGTTATTCTAGACAGCAAAAAGGAGGCATATAGGGAGGCACCACAGAGCTCTGTGTGGACCTGGGCTTCCAACCGCCCATTTGAACCCCTGCTGAGAATTTGCATTTCTAACAAGTTCCCAGGAAGTTATACATAAGAATCACCTGGAGATCTTGTTAAATGTAGATTCTGATTCAGTATATCTGGGGTGGAAATGTATATTCTCAGCAGGGGTACTTACCAGTGGACCAACAGGAAGTAGTGTGTGGGCTGACATGTGGGTCTGGGCCATCATGTTTGAGGAAGGAGCTGGAAAGCTTTGGTCACAGGGAGCTCTGAATACCAACTTCATCTAGATTTTTATTCCAAAGGCAATAGCATTGATATTTTTCTGGGAGAAAGATACTGCTGTAGAAGCAATATTGAGAAGTTCATGGTGATTTTAACGTACAAGATCTACTGAAGCTCGATTAGGAGTCTTTGACAATAGCTCAAATATATGGAACATGAGGGTCCTCACCAGGATAGTGGCCATAGAAATGAAAATAAGTGACAAACATGGTGTTTGCTATGTATGAAGATTGAAGGACAAGTTAAATGTTCCTGTGGATAGATGTACTGGGGACATAAAAAATACTTGATAAGAGAAAACAACACAGTAACCATAAGCAAGTGTTGTCCTTCACTGTTTATTAAAGAAATGTAATTTTGTTATCACTCAGTTGGTACACAGAACCAAACCCACTGCCATCAAGTGGATTCTGACTCGTAGTGACCCTGTAGGACAGAAAGAACTGCCCCATAGGGTTTCCAGAACTGTAATCTTTACGGGAGCAGACTGCTACCTCTTTCTGCCATGGAGTGGCTGGTGGGTTCAAACCACCAACCTTTTGGTTGGCAGCCGAGCTCTTTAACCACTGTGCACCAGGGCTCCTTTAATTGGTACAGATATGAGTAAAAATGGTGTAGTAGCTGCATGGCTATTTTGATGGGTTGTTTAGGGCAGCAATACCATCTAGGTGAAAATCTATCCCCGTTTTCGTTGTGATTCTGGTCCTGAAGGTTGGGAAGTCTTAGCTAGAGGCTGAAATTTATGATGAAAACTATGAATGAGCTAACATAAGGAAGCGCATAGAGAGAAGACAGCAGGGAGCCAGACACTTCTACACTGCGCTCACATGCAGGAAGTCAAGGGGAGAGTTGGAGCCAGCAGCATTGAAACTAGAGGACTCCCTGAGACTTAATCACCTGAGAAACTCTTTTAACCTTGAACTGCAGCTATCCCTGCAAGTCACCTTTTAGCAAAATAACAGATTGGCACACAAAGGATATTGTCTGTGAGTACAGTCCTCCGTTAAGAAACCATCTATGTGAGACCAAGAGGTGAACAAAGCAAAGATGAGACGATTAGGGGGCAGGGAAACTAGAGTACTAGAAATGGAACAACCAAAACGCAGTTAAAGAGAATGTTGACAAGTTGTGGAAAATGTAATATCACTGAACAATTTGTGTAGGACTTGTCAAATGGGAACCTAATTTGCTCTGTAAACTTTCACAGAAAACACAAAATATTTTTTACAAAGAGGGTGACAGCATAACCATAATAAAATCTCCCATTTGAAAAGAGAAAGAAAAAAAAAGTCAAGGAATTGTCAGATACAGAACTTGTTCCAAAAGTTATCAAATTACATTTTAAAGTTAAAGAGTGATTGGTGGGGAAGGAAGCAAGGAAGATGTGTAAATGGTGGAGGGAAGCCAGGATCAAATTATAAAGCCCTTGTGAGTTGGCACCAAGCTGATAGAGCAGCCAGTGTGGCCAGCAGCAGTTAACTCCAGGCCATATTTTATAACTATAAAAGATGAAAAACAGCATAACTGGTTTAGAGCCAGCAGCAGAAACTTGGTAAAGGGTAGTAAGACCAAGGAATAAAGGAGAAAAGTCTTATCAGAGAAGGTCCACGGTGTAGAGAAAGTATGAGCAAGAGGAAGGTGGCTGTATGTATTTAAAAAAAAACCAAACCCATTGCCGTCAAACTCACTCAGAGTTGATTCCGACTCATAGCAACCCTATTGGTCAGAGTAGAACTGCTCCATAGGGTTTCCAAGGAGCAGCTGGTGGATTCAAACTTCCAGCCTTTTGATAAGCAGCCACTACTTAACCACTACTCCACCACTACCCCACCAGGGTTTCCTATTGACTAAGTTATAAAGTGCTTATTCTGTGCCAGACACTGTCCCTATTAGTCCTCTCAACAACCTTGGGAGGTGAGCACTGTTGTTACCCTCACTTTGTGGAAAAGTGCAATGGGGCTGAGAGGTTAAGTGGTTTCCACAGGGTCACACACCAGGAAGGAGGCCACGTGTGAATATAGGCTTTAGACCAGTGTTTTTACCAGGACATCCCCAAGGTGTGGTGAGTGGTGGGATGCCATGGGTAAAATAGGTAGAAAGATGTAGCTTTTGTTCCAAAGCCAAGAAGAGTGGAAGAATGAAGGAGGCAGTGACCCCAGGGAGTTCCGTGAGGGATGTAGTCTTTCGGGCATGGTCCCAGAGTGAAACTGGAGGAGGAGGTCCCCAACTTTGCCTGCTCCAGGTAGCCAAGCAGCAACCCCTGTGACTTCAGCATTCCTGTTGAACCTGCCCTGATGGGAGTCTCCTCTGGCTTAAGGGGAGGCTTTTCCAGGCAGGGCTAATGGTACAGCTGCCCATCTCTACCCCCACAGACATCGATCAGCTCATCACCATCAGTGGCATGGTGATCAGAACATCCCAGTTGATCCCAGAGATGCAGGAGGCCTTCTTCCAGTGCCAAGTGTGTGCACACACGGCCCGCGTGGAGATTGACCGCGGCCGCATTGCTGAGCCCAGTGTGTGTGAGCACTGCCACACAACCCACAGTATGACGCTCATCCACAACCGCTCTGCCTTCTCTGACAAGCAGATGGTGAGCCCTTTCTCCTGTGCCCCCTCCTCCCTTTCCCTCTGCAAGCCCCTTCCAGCCTTCCAGCCAAGACCAAGGACAAAGGAAGGGACCCAGATAAATACGTTTGTATTTGTTCTCCATCTATACCTCCCCAAAAGCCACATTTTAAAAACCATTCTTCCTAAATGGCATTTACCTTATTTCACTCAAATGGTAGATTTTTGTCTCAAGTTGTGGGCTGGGGTATTTTGAGCACTCTGAAAGCTTCAGCTTTGGAATCCCAGCATTCCTGTTTTACTGCTGGTAAAACAAAAAAAAAAACCCGTCACCACTGAGTCAATTCTGACTCATAGCGACCCTGTAGAATGGAGTAGAGCTGCCTCATTGGGTTTCCAAGGTTATAAATCTTTACAGAAGCAGACTGCAACATCTTTCTACTGTGGAGCAGCTAGTGGGTTCAAACCACCAACCTTTCGGTTAGCAGCCGAGTGTTTTAACCACTGCGCCAACAGGGTTCCTTTACTGCTAGTGAACCAGTCCATTATTTTACATTCCACCTTTTTTTAGGCCTAAAATATTTTATAATAAAGGAAAAAAGTATATTTTTCCACTATAAAAGAAAAAAACAAGTTGCCGTGTGGTTGATTCCAACTCATGGCAACCCCGTATGTGTCCATGGGATATTCAATGGCTGATTTTTCCAAGTAGATCGGCAGACCTTTCTTCTGAGATGCCTCTGGATAGACTCCAACCACCAACCTTTTGGTTAGCAGCCAAGCACGTTAACCTTTTACACCACCCAGGGACTCCTTTTCCACTGTAGACATCTTAAAAGTTTAATGTCGCTTACAAGTTAACAAGTCAAATTTGTCTACTCCTGAATTTGACTTATTACATTAAACATGAGATGCTTTTATGGAAAATACTTAAGATTGGTTAATGTCTTAGGTAGGTCAGGTACGAATATGTAGAACATTGAGGACAGTAAAAATTACATGTCTTTAAATTCTGTCATTTTGCAACTATTCTAGTAAAGAATAGATGTGAGAAACAAATTTTATTGAAAGTTTGGCCTTTTTTCATGAAATTTATGTTTAATGTAGCCTAAGTTACATATAATGTCACCTAGAAATAAGTGGAGGGAAGGCAGAAAAATTATTTGCTATGATTTCAAGTGTAAAAGTATATGCATGAAGACTAATGTTGAGGTTTTTTTGTTTTGTTATAATGTTTAAGCAGTTTCTTTTACATTAAATGGAGAAAATGTGTTTTAAATAGTATAAAAAGTAATTTCCCTTAAAAAAAAAATACCATACCAAACCTGTTGCCATCGAGTTGATTCCAACTCATAGCAACCCTATAGGACAGGGTAGAAATACCCTGTGGGGTTTCCACAGATCTGCTGGTGGATTCAAACTGCCAACCTTTGGTTAGCAGCTGAGCTCTTAATCATTGCACCACCAGGGCTCCAATTTCCCTTAATGGGAGTCAAAAAAATTAAAAATATAGTAGCAAATGTGGAAAAGTGTTCAACTTTATTAAGTTTTTTCTTCTAATATTGGCAGAGATTTTTGGAACAAATGTACCTCAATTCACACTGGCTCAGTGCTGAGAGCTGGAGATACAAAGATACAACCTCTGCTCCCCAGGGGCTTGCACTCAAAGACTCCCAGACTCACTTAGGATAAGATCTAAAGCCAAGCATCTGCCTCCAAGGCCTGCATAACCTGACGTCACCTCCACAACACATTCTTGTACCCACAGAAGTCTCTGACATCTCGACCATTTCTTTATCAGCACTTCAGCCAGGCATTTTCCCACCTTAGGACCTTTGTATTTGCTGTTTCTTCAGCTGAGAACCCATGGCTTCTGCTCAGAGATCACCTGATTAGAAAGGCCCTCCCTAACCTTGCTTTGTGGAGAGTGTCTCCTCCACCCCACCCTGCCGTTTTTATACTCCTTGCACTGCTGTTTCTTATCTGATCTGCTTGTCACTGTCAAATCTGTTATGTGTCACTTTCCTGTTGGTTTATTGTCTTCCCCCCTCCACTCCATGAGGGCAAGGACTCTGTTCGCTGCGGAGTCCTTGACTCCTAGCACAAGGTCAGCACACTGTGGGCACTCAGCAAATATCTGTCAGGTGAATGTAGGTCTGTCAACAGGCAGGTATCTGCTCTGCACACAGTGACTAGGAGATGTGTAAAGAATTGCCTAAGCTGGGAACCTTAAAGGTGTGTACTCGCCGCCCAGGAATTCTGCTAGAAGTAACTTTTCTAAAGAAACAATTAGGAATGTAAGCAAAGATTATCCACAGAGAGGTGTATTATAGCCTTACAGTGGCAAAAAGGTGGGAACCACCCAAGTCCTCCCCCAAAAAAGTACATGAATGTTTAAATAAGCTGTATCCTTATAAAAATTTTTCCCACATCACATGAAAAATCAGTTTTTTAAAAGTCTGCTATCTAGGCATTAAAGCAAAAAAGGTTTAAAAAGAAGCACAGGTGCCAGGTATTAAAAGTAGTCCCTTCTGAGTGGTGCAGGTGCAGTTGGTTGCCTCTGCTCCCACACTTCCTTCTCATGCGTCCTCTGTCCTGCTCTGCTTTGCTCTCCTGTCAGATCAAACTTCAGGAGTCTCCTGAGGATATGCCAGCAGGGCAGACGCCTCACACGGTCATCCTTTTTGCTCACAATGATCTTGTTGACAAAGTCCAGCCTGGCGACAGAGTGAATGTCACAGGTAAGAGCCGTAGTTTGTGCTGACGCGATCAGGTCCCTGTCTGGCTCTCAGTTGCACTTTTTGTTAAGTCCTCAAACTCTGTCATGAGTACGCTGGGGTGGGCCTATCAGCCTAAGAGCAGGGCGGGGGATTTGATGGCTAAGAACCTGACAGTCCTGTGAATTCATTTAAAAAAAAAAAAAAAAAGTTGAGTAAATATTAAAAACTGGCTTTTTTTTCCTTAGTTTCAAAATGGAATTAAAGCAGCGACACACGTGAAAGTGTCTGGGGAAGGGCTGTGGCATTGTCAGTGCTGTGGTGTGAAGGGAAATCAATGCAGACAGGGTGCAGAAAGATACCTGGGTCTCTGGGACCCCCTTTGTCTGTCTCGGAGTGAGTTATCCATCAGGTGCATGTGTCCATGGTGAGAGCATTGCACATGAGCTGACTTTTATGAAAAAAACCACCTGCAGCTGTTGGCCAGACAGGCAGGTGGTTGTGGTTTTGAGTGTGTACAGTAAGAGGCAGCAGGAAGCTGGGAACAGCCCTGACTCCATGGCTTCTGGTGAGAAATTCAAAAAGGGTAAGCAACAGGCATAGCCATTTGGGAAACTCCTAGGGGTATGGTTGGAGTGTCAATTGTTGATCTACTACTTTTAATTTTTTTAAATTACATTCTTTTTAAAAACGTAGTGAGAGGCAGTTCACCCAGAAACACCTGCTGTTACTAACAGAAAATAGTCGTTTCTCCTTGCCCTTTGACCCAATAGATTGTCTTACTTGCTGTGAAATAATTTTAAGTGGTTTTTTAAAAGACTGGAGCTTTTAGGATTTCCTCTCTTTCCAAGTTTTTCATTTTGGATTTGAGCAAATTCTGTACACTCAGCTTAAACCAAACCCATTGCCACCGAGTCAGTTCTGACTCATAGCGACCCTATAGGACAGAGTAGAGCTGCCCTGTAGGGTTTCCAAGACTGTAATCTTTATGGAAGCGGACAGCCACACCTTTCTCCCATGGAGCAGCTGGTGAGTTTGAACCACCATCCTGTAGGTTAGCAGTGCGTGCTTAACCACTGCACCACCAGGGCTCCCTACACTCAGCTTAGGGAAATGAAAATACTACTTAGGAGACGTTAACCATGAGCCAGGCCTTGTGCTAGATGCAGAATAATTTTATCTAACCCTCAGCACCATTCTGTGTAGTGCAGTTATGCTTGGAGGGCCCAGTGTCACAGAGGTGAGTATATGTTCAGGTCTGCCTTCTCAGAAAACTGCTCTTTCCATCATGCCCTGCCCCCATCCTGCCACCACACCCTTGCTTGAGAGAGTAGGCCTGAGTCCTCAGCTTGGCGGTCGTGAAGACAGCTGACTGTAGGTGTCCTGTGAAGAGGTGTGCTCATCCTCTCCCTTCTGGTGCCTGCCAGTCAGAGGAGCCCAGGCTTCTTATCGTGCGTGTTGTCTACTCTGGTCCACTGAGCCTGTCAGTCACACCATGTCGTGGTTGCTGCCCTCAGGCATCTATAGAGCCGTTCCCATCCGAGTCAATCCAAGAGTGAGTAATGTGAAGTCTGTCTACAAGACCCACATTGATGTCATCCATTATCGAAAAACGGATGCAAAACGTCTACATGGCCTTGATGAAGAAGCAGAACAGAAACTTTTCTCAGAAAAACGTGTAGAATTGCTTAAGGAACTTTCCAGAAAACCAGACATTTATGAGAGACTTGCTTCAGCCTTGGCCCCAAGCATTTATGAACATGAAGATATAAAGAAGGTAAATAGTGAGCTTTTCTTTTTCTTTTTCCCCAATTTGTTGAGATCATGATCTCTGGGATCATGTATTATAAACATACATCCCCCCCCGCCCCACCACAACCTTCCCACCTCCGAATAAAGGATAAGAACGTGCCGTTTTTAGATACCAAGGCAGTCTCAGCGTGACTTAGTCATTGATTGAGAAGAATCACAACGTCATTGTCTCTTTCCTGATTGCTATATCAACCTTACATGTTTGTAAACCTGAGAATGGGAACTTAGGTGACCACTGTTCTGGCATGACAACAAACTCTGTCCATTGCAAAGGTGAACTGCATTCATCACTGCACAGGCTAGGACACTTTAGATATTTGGTGCTTGGAATATAAGTGTCAGAGCAATGGGTGTTACCTTGGTTCTAACTTGGGGGAACTGGTGAATTTTTTTAAAGGTGTTTCAGAGTTTAAAAAAGATACATAGAATTATCCCTTATGTTAGAAAATACTCAAGAGATTTAGCTAAAATCCTCTTTTAGTGTTCCTTACTATTCGGCCACAAATGTGTGGTATTTGTAAAACTTGTGTAAGACTCCTGATTACTCTTATTACTTAGAGTAAAGCACTGTCGCATTTGTTTTTCTATACCTTTCTTTAGTCCTTTTAGTTGTAGTTTTTTATTCACAGGGCAGAAGAGTACCTCTATAACATTTTAACTAAATCTGTTACTCTGTAGTAAATGAATTTTCAGACATGTTTTCTTTTTAGGGAATTTTGCTTCAGCTCTTCGGGGGAACCAGAAAGGATTTTAGTCACACAGGAAGGGGCAAATTTCGTGCCGAGATTAATATCCTCCTTTGTGGTGACCCTGGGACCAGTAAGTCCCAGCTACTGCAGTATGTCTACAACCTGGTTCCCCGGGGGCAGTACACATCTGGGAAAGGCTCCAGTGCAGTTGGCCTCACCGCCTACGTGATGAAGGACCCAGAGACAAGGCAGCTGGTCCTGCAGACTGGCGCCCTTGTCCTCAGTGACAATGGCATCTGCTGCATCGATGAGTTTGATAAGATGAATGAAAGTACAAGATCAGTGTTGCATGAAGTGATGGAGCAACAAACTCTGTCCATTGCAAAGGTGAACTGCATTCATCACTGCACAGGCTAGGACACTTTAGATATTTGGTGCTTGGAATATAAGTGTCAGAGCAATGGGTGTTACCTTGGTTCTAACTTGGGGGAACTGGTGAATTTTTTTAAAGGTGTTTCAGAGTTTAAAAAAGATACATAGAATTATCCCTTATGTTAGAAAATACTCAAGAGATTTAGCTAAAATCCTCTTTTAGTGTTCCTTACTATTCGGCCACAAATGTGTGGTATTTGTAAAACTTGTGTAAGACTCCTGCAAGGGGTATAGTTTCTGAGAAAGACGGGGTTATAGTATGCATTCATCTAAAACTCAATCCTTACACGAATCCAAAAGAAGTACTTCTTGTTTGTAAAGGATTCTCCTCCATAGATCTTTGTTTTCCTAACTCAAACATGAATGTCATATTAACATTTTTGGTCTCAGACTTTTTTCTGACCCTAAAAGATGAGTATTAAAAAGTGTCTTTGTGCTCTGTTAATAATTTTGAGGATAAAAGAAGTTCACTGTTGGGGTAGGGTGGGGAGTGAAGATACATGCACACTTTATTGTTTACTTTACCCAAAGTCTTGCGGGTGTGCAGGTAGCACAGCAAGGAGAGATGCTGTGATGACACAGTGCTGGGACAGTGACAGGCTACGCAATGGACCAGGAAGCATTGGGCGGTGTTAACAGGGAGCGGCCACATGGAGGCCGACACTGCACTGAACCGCGTGCAGGTGCAAGGCGCCTGCCATGTCTCCTGCCAGAACTTCATACCCCTTAGTCTACTTCTTTCAAAGGGACGTTAACAGTGAAGCTTCTCCAGTGGAGGCTGTTGTAGCGATGGGTGGTTGAAAAGGAGTGGTTCTTGGTGGCTCAGGGACAACAGCACCCTTCTGATGACAGTTCTCTCCAATAGGCCGGGATCATCTGTCAGCTCAACGCACGCACTTCTATCCTGGCAGCAGCCAATCCTATTGAGTCTCAATGGAATCCCAAAAAAACCACCATTGAAAACATCCAGCTGCCGCACACATTATTATCAAGGTATTAAAACGTTTCTGTACGATTTGTTGTTGCTTGTCATTGATATTCTTACTTTGCTTGTTAGTAGACCTCAGGGTAAAAGGAAAAGAAGGAAATACTACTAAAATTTTGCAACTGTTAATATTATTTAGTAACTCTTCATTCTAATGTAAAATGTTTCAAGTGTGGTTGGTTAGGGGTTTTGGGTGTAAGGATTATATGTTTCTTTGAAATCTTTTTCAGAAATCTTCTCAGTTTCAAAACCACTATGTAGAAACAACAAAGTACAGATAACAGCTTCCCCCAATAGATATGTTTCTGAAAAATTAGGTTTATTAAGGTGGAATCATGTAAATCTGTATTTTTTTTCAGCACACTATTCCAAATGTTGATATATTTCATAAATGTGTTATGGATTTTAGATTTTAACTACTTGATATTTTTCCTTTTTTCCTACTGAAACAGTTGAATGTATTTTCTTTCTTCATTCAAATTCAAACTGTAATAGCATTCCTTCCAGGCAGATCTTATCCTTTGACACAGCTGCTGATGCCCAGCCCTCTTCTGGAACACCCAGCATAGAGAGGGGAGCCTGCTCCTAACAGTGGGGAAGCTGAATTTATTTGATGCTGTATTAGACACACTTTTTCCTCAGTGGTCCTTACCAAATGCACGTTTTAAAGCTTGTGCTTCAGCACTGTCTGCGGTGCTAAAGAACAAGCTTTAAAATTAGATTTATAGATTCGTTGGTGGACCAACTAAGAAAATTGCGTTTCGTTCACCTCTTCCAGGTTTGATTTGATCTTCCTCATGCTGGACCCTCAGGACGAAGCCTATGACAGACGCCTGGCCCACCACCTGGTGGCGCTGTACTACCAGAGCAAGGAGCAGGCAGAGGAGGAATTCATGGACATGGCAGTGCTACGGGACTACATCGCCTATGCACACAGCACTGTCACGCCACAGCTGAGTGAGGAGGCAGGCCAGGCGCTCATCGAGGTAGTGAGGCACTAGTGTTACAGCAGGGGGATCTGGCATTGCCTCTAGGAAAAGGATTAATGTAATTTAACATTAAGGCGAAGTAATTATGCTTCAGTCATCCTCTTTAAAACATTATTTTGTTGAAATAGCATAATGTTTTATATAAGTACACATTTTGTTTCTTCTGTGATGCAAAATTGACTTCCAAACACAAATAGAGGAAAATAATTCATTTGTATTGGTTGTACACACATTTTATATTTAAGTAATTGTAAGTGAGTTTTTAAGACCAGAAGACCTGAGTTCAAAGACAGGTGTTGCTACTTAGTAATTTTGTAACTCTGGACAAGTCATTGAACTTCCATTTCCTTGTTTCTGAAAAACAAAACTGAGTGATAAGTATTTGATGTTCACTTTTCGGTATCTTGCTCTTACATGTTCAGCAGTACCTGCCTGCACGTTTTAGGTTACAAAAGCATTGTGATGAGCAAGTTTTGTGTTTTGTGGGCTTTACATTCTGACTGAGCTTTCAAAACCAGTTGCCATTGAGTTGACACTGACTCATGGCAACCCCATGTGTTTCAGGGTAGAATTGTGCCCTGTAGGGTTTTCAGTGGGGGATCTTTGGAAAGTGGATCACCAGGCCTTTTTTCCAAGGTGCCTCTGGGTGGACTCAAGCCTCCAATTTTCAGTTAGCAGCTGAGCACATTAACCATCAGCACCACCCAGGGCCTCCAGCTGAGCTTCCTAAAATGTTCATAGGAAAGTTGTAGATGATATGTTATTTTCGGTTTGTCTCAGATTCTTTTAAATCTGCTGCTACATTGTCAATAAGGGTTGTTCATGAAGAAATGAAAGTATACTATCTATATAAGTTTAATACAACTTTGTAACATCATCCCTGTAACCCTTAGCATGTCTAGTTGAGTGGGTCCTCACCCAGGAGTGGCACTCGGAGCTGGTGCCTGGGCCCTTTTAAAGGTGCACCCTGTCCTCACCCTCCTGTGCTTTTCTTTCTCATCTGTCTTCGCTGTCCATTTCGTCTTCACTCCATACGTCACATACCACCTATACCACCTTCTGCAAGAAGTCTTCCTAAGTATCTCCCTGTGAGAATATTTCCAACCACCATTTCCCACCTGTTGGAATTTTGTCCCAGGATTGTCTGTCATCTTTACCACTTGCTGGTGACTGACTTAGTTGTCTAGCACTGCTACCTCAAGTGGATAGTTTTAGCATACAGAAATTTATTCCCTCACATTTTAGGAGGCTAGAAGTTCAAAATCAGGGTGCCAGCTGTAGGGAAGGACTTTTGCTCTGTGTCTGCTGTGGGGGAAGGTCCACATCAATCTTCTCCTGGGTCTAGGAAGTTCTCAGTGCAGGGACCCTGGGTCCGAAGGATACACTCTGCTCCCGGCTCTTTCTTGATGTGGTAGTCAGGTCTCCCTCTCTCTGCTGTCTTCTCTCTCCTTTTATCACTTGTAAGATAAAAGGTGATGCAGGTCACATGCCAGGGAAACTCCCCTTACATCTCATCTGGGCCATGACCTAAGTAAGGGTATTGCATCCCACTCTAGTCCTTTTTAACATAGCCTAATCTCACCGCATTAACCACAGGCAGAGATTAGCATTTACAACACATAGGACAGTTACACCAGATCACAAAATGGAGGACAACCACACAATACTGGGAATCATGGCCTAGCCAAGTTGACACATATTCTGGGGGGACACAATTTAATCCATGACAGTGACCTTCCAGGCCCCAGGCTGCATCTGTTTTCGTGCCCTTGGTTCCCAGACATGGCAGCAGGCAGTGGTCCATTTATTTAAAGTAATCGTAACTCCACTGAAAGTTTTAACCACGAGACTGGAATTACTGTTATCACAGGGCTTTGCTTTTGTGTTTTCTACCTGCACCAGGCTTATGTAGACATGAGGAAGATTGGTAGTAGCCGAGGGATGGTTTCCGCATACCCTCGACAGCTGGAATCGTTAATTCGCTTAGCAGAAGCCCATGCTAAAGTACGGTTTTCAGACAAAGTTGAAGCAATTGATGTTGAAGAGGCGAAGCGTCTTCATCGGGAGGCTCTGAAGCAGTCTGCGACTGACCCCCGGACCGGCATTGTGGATATCTCTATTCTCACCACAGGTGTGTTGTAGCATAAAACAAAAAACCACTCGAAGATGACTTAAGTGCATAAGTAATTAGTATTTCAGATGTAAGCTAAAGGTTAACGCATGTGGACCGGAGGTTCTTAACCTTTTTTGGAACAGAACACTTTTGAGAATCTGAGAAAAGTTGCTGGATCTTCCCCTGAGAATATGTACTAAAACACAGTCACAGGTCACCCACTTAAAATTTATATGAGAGCATTTTCAAAACAATTGTGAAACAGAAAGGTATAGCTAATTTTTAAGGTACATAACTGAAATAACTAGTCTAGACATTACTAAAGGGACATTTATGGAGATTTGAAACATACCACTTTTATTAAATTATTTTATAATCAGGAATGAGTGCCACCTCTCGTAAACGGAAAGAAGAATTAGCTGAAGCTTTGAAGAAACTTATTTTGTCTAAGGGCAAAACACCAGCACTAAAATACCAGCAACTTTTTGAAGATATCCGGGGACAATCTGACATAGTAAGTGTTTATGTTTTTGTGTTTCTTAGTTTTTGTCTTTCCTCTTAATATGACTTTAGGGTTATTTTGTTTTTTCCTTCTTTGTTAGTTGTTTAAGTTATAAATGCAAATAAGAATAAAGGAAAAAAGTGAGACCACCCATAAACCCATCATCAATAAATATTCATGATTAAAATTTGGTTATTTGTCTTTCAGAGTTTTTCTGTGTGGTCTTTCAGAAAGGGACAGCATCAATTATAGTTACACTGTTCATAACTTGCTTGTTTGTTTAATTAACAATATGTTATTAACATCTTTCTCTGTTGGTAAATACACCTCAGAACATCATTCATAATGATGACTGAGTAACATTCTACTGCATGTATATTCCGTCATTAACTGGGTGTTGAACTTTTATGTTTGCAGTATTTTGCTATTATAAATGCTGTTGTTATGTGCAACATCTTTGCGCATGAATCAATTATTACATTAATACATAGAAATCAAACTGTTGGATAGAAGGACGTGTACTCTAACAGCTTTTGATAGCCATATCTGACAGTTAAAGCTCTATGGAGCACACTTCTATTCTGAGACACATGGTGTTGCTATGAGTTGAAATCTACCCCATGGCAACGTGTTTGACACTGAATAAGTTTTAAACTTATATAGATTTATTTTGGGGATGAAATACTCAGGTGCCCTTTTGTGAATAATTAAAGTTGACTTGTTCTGTGAAAAGAGCCACATGGGCCAAATCCAGGCCTTGGCCTGCTTTGCAGTGCCGACTCATTTATGTACTGTCTGGCTGCTCTGGCACTCAAGTGCCGAGTTGAGTAGTCACAACAAAGCCACCAAAAAGGGAAAGATACTCTAGATGATGCTATAACATTAAAATTTTTTAATCGCTAACAGCTACTGGAAAATTTGACATAACCAATATTTATTTTCCTCTTCCCCAAAGGCAATTACCAAAGACATGTTTGAAGAAGCTCTGCGTGCCTTGGCTGACGATGACTTCTTGACAGTGACTGGAAAGACTGTTCGCTTGCTGTGATGATGTTGGCATGATACTGTGTGCTCTGCTATCGATCGTTTCACTTCCTAACGTATACGTGCAATTAATGGACCAATCAGCTAACACCCCTGCTATCAGTATAATAGGTTGTTAAAGTCACTATTCCGCTACATGAAAATTTTCTATCCTAGGGATCAGTTTTCTTAGTGAAGTATGTTTTCATTTTTTTTAAGGTTTTAAGTAAAAATACTGTACCAGTTTACAAACAGATGTCCAGTAGAGATTATTTTCTTGAAGTGCAGTATCATAGCAGCAGGGCTTTTTTATCTTGGTATGTACAGGTGTGCGTACATGAGTAGCACTACGTCATCTCTTGAAGATGACGGCCTGGGATCATGACTTTTTTTGTGCTAGACTTTTTAATAGCAATTGTCCGTATGCTTGAGGCTTTGTAATAATAGCAGATTTATTAACTAGGGCATATACTTGGATGTGAGTTAATTGAAAAACTAGGGCCATGCTCCCTTTCACAGCACCCAAGCGTAATCCTTTTTAGAGGCTTGTTATAGCTGCTATAAGATCCAAAAGTCAGAAGTGGTTTAAAAGGGTGGTTGGAAATGATTTACTTTTGCCACAGACCTTTTCCTATTATGTACGCTTTCTTCCTAAATAAATGATTGAAAATAAATTATACTCTGTTATCTGACATTACTTTTCATAAGGCAAAAAAAACCTTAAACACATTGCTGGAAATTCACAATGGTAAGTACTTTATAACTCATTAAAACCCTTACTATAATATAATGAATGGTATTTTAACTCAATTATTTAACTCCTATTTTTATAAAAATCATTTCTATAGGTGGAAATCTTACCTGTAAATACTACTCCAGTAAATAATCCCTGAAACATTTTTAATAGAGTTAACATGTTACTGTTAGAATGATATTTAGAGGTCATCTGGCCAAACACTCTCATTTCGTGAATCATTTTTGTCTGTGCTGTACTTGACAGACAGGCAAAATGCATTGTGTTTTCAAGGAGGCAGTGACTAGGATGGGGCGTCTCCAAAGAAGCAAATGGCTTTACTGGTGAGGTCTCCTTAGTGAGCACACTAGGGTGAGATGCTTTTACATACATTCATTTAATCCTCAGAGCAATCCTGTAGGAAAAATATTTTCCTTTTTATAGATGAAGGAACCAAGAAGTCACATGACTTGCCTAACTGGAATTAAAACAGTTCAGTCTTCTGCCTTTTAAATTTCACTTTAACTATATAGCACTTTCAGATTATAGCTCAGATGTTTAACTCTGTTTAGTGCTTTTGGACACGCAGCTTAGGCTTCCAAAATCACACAGAGAAGGCTCCCTGGTGTCTGGCACCTGGTGTGCACTCTAATTGTTTCCATGAGTGGAGGAGTCAGAATCTGTTGAACTATGTTCTCACAACTACGGGTTTTTCAGACTGGAAGTTTTTTTTGTTTGTTTTTACCTTTTATTGTGGCGAAAACATACACACCAAAATATCTACCAAGACAACAACATCCACATTTACAACTCATTGACATTGATTACATTTTTCTTGCCATCATTATCACTATCCTCATCTAAAACGCTTCCACCACAGTTAACATAAACTCTGCCCCCCACCCCGCTCCACACAAAAACTCCTTTCCACTTCCCTCCACCCTAGCTAACCATGAATAATATTTGCATTCTGTACATCTGCTTATTTCATATAAGTGAAATAAAGTATTTGTCCTTTGGCGACTGACTTCACTCGGCACAATGTTTTCAGGGTTCATTCATGTGGCATACATCAGAACTTAATTTTCTTTGCAGCTGCACAATATTTCATTGTATGTATATACCACATTTTGTTTATCCATTCATCTGTTGATGGACATTGTGATTGTTTCCACCTTTTGACTATTGTGAAACGTGCTGCAATGAACACTGGTGTATAGGTTTCTGTTTATGTTCCTGTCTTCACTTCTGGGTAAGTACAGTAAGTCCCTGGGTTACGACTGTCTGATTTACAGGGTCAACTCATACTTTTCCTTAGATGTTAATGTAAATTTGCCTTCGCTTTGAAACCATTGAACTACCCCCTGCTTGCAACAAATTCTTCATCACAATCACCTTCACTTGCTGCATGTGCAGCTTTTAAATCACTAAAAAGTCTTCCAGCCTTTTCCTGCACCAAAATAAGGCTAGATAAGAACCATGTGCACCTGTTCTGACCTACCTACAAATTCAACTTAAAGACAGACTTGGAACAATCTCATTTATAACCCAGAGACTGCCTGTCCATGGGATTGGGATTGCTGGATCATAAAGTATAACTGAGGAACTGCCAGATTTATAGCTAGTGGCTGCACCATTTTACATTCCCACCAGCAACAGTGTGTCAGAATTCTCAATTCCATTCTGGATATTCTTTTCCAGTGATCTGATTTCCCTGTCCACTTACCCTTTCGCTTTTGCTTTAGAGTAATTGTTGACCATTTGGTCGCATATAGATGATTTTTCAAAGGTGCACAGTACTCACTGGTAATATTCTTTATGAGCCAATCTTACTTTGCTAAAAAGTGACCTCAAGGGGTAGTTTCAGTTCAGGGCTTATGGAGTATCTCAAGGCGATAGTTTTCGGGAGTCCTCTAGTCTCAACTGGTCCAGTAAGTCTGGACTTCTTAAGAATTTGAGTTCTGTTCCACATTTTTCTCCCTATTAGGAACCATCTATTGTGGCCCTCATCAGAACATTCATTAATGGTAGCCAGGCACCATCTAATTCTGGTCTCAAGGTATGTGAGGCTGTTGTAGACTGTTAGTCCTGTAGACTCTGAATTGGTTTCTGTGTGTGGTGTGAGGCACTGGAAATAGTTTTATTCACAGCTCTACAATTGCTCAAAGGCAACTGGTCCTACAGTCTTTGAACTTGCTACTCACAAGCTACAAACATAACGCACATTATACATATTACACTTATTTAGACCTTCGTGGAGCAAAGGTATCAGAAAGGTGTTTAATAACATGTCTTTTGGCCACAGTGAGAAGTAGCCTTCTTGCCTGAAATCCCCTAAATTGCATACTGAGTTGTTGGTTGCTGTCAAGTCAGTTCTAACTCATGGCACCTCATGTGTGCAGAGTGGAACTCTCCATAGGCTTTTCAAGGCTGTGACCTTTCAGAAGCAGATCGCCAGGGCTGTCTTCCTAGGCACTTCTGAGTGGGCTTGAACTGCCAACCTTTTGGCTAGTAGTAGAGTGCTTAACCATTTGTGCCACCACCTAAGGGTAAGTACAAGTTGGAAAAAAAAATTTTTTAATTTTCCCTGATGCGAAAGGGAAAAAGTTTTTTTTCCCCTTAGAGCTTTTACTTTAGAAAATTTGTAAATTCTTTCTCTGCCTCTTTTGAAATGTATGCAAATCCTTTAAAAGGCTAAATTACTTCTTACCAATTTTACAAGCCAGAAATGTTTCCTCAAGGACCTGGGAGCTATCCCTTTGAAATGTAATCAAGACAGATAACACCTCAGTGTCCAAGGTTCTGTGGGAGCGTAGGAGCCTAACATCTAAGGGTGCCCCGCTCCAAATTACATAACTATCTCCTGTCTTAAAAGATTTGAAAAATCAAACGATTTAGCTTAACTAGTAAAAAATGTCTGCCTTGAGCATTATGCTCCTTTAAGAACTCTATATGGGATCAAAGTAACAGCAACTTAAAAGATTAGATAGGAACCTTAGGGGGCAGGGAGTTTATATTACTGGAGGAGGAACAACTCAGAAAAGCAGGGTGAGAATGGTTGCACAACTCAAAGAATGTAATCAATGTCACTGAATTGTAAATGTAGAAACTGTTGAATTGGTGTATGTTTTGCTCTATTATTAACAAAATTAAAAATAAATATAAGAAGTTACAGCATTAAAAAAAAGACACAAAAAGTTTCTTTTTCCTTTTGGGTAAAGCCAAAAACCATAGGTAGCTACCCTCAATTACTAGATGAATTTAAGATGTATTGGAGCCCTGGTGGCGTAGTGGTTAAGAGCTTGGCTGCTAACCAAAAGGTCAGCAGTTCGAATCCACCAGCCCCTCCTTGGAAACCCTATGGGGCAGTTCTCTGTCCTATAGGATCGCTAAGAATCAAAATTAATTTGACGCTTGGTTTTTATATGTAAGAAACGGTCCCTGTTAAATCTTCTTACTTGAGAACTAATTATCATTTTAAGACAGAGGTCCCCAGGCTCAGAAAAATTCCACTGCCTCAAGCAGGTTGCTTGGCACGCCCTGTAGCTTTACATTAGAATCCTGGTTCCTTTGTTTGGACCCCCCTGTAACTTTACATTAAAATCATTTCCCCTTTCCTTAACTGCTGCCTAAAACTAGAGGAAATTGGTGGAAACCGGTTTAGGTGCTGTGGTGACATTCAGGATAAGCTTTTAGACCTCATACATGTTAACTTCCCCACCTCTGGGTGGAGTTTAACAATTTTCTGAACACGCAATGCATGATGTTATATGTAAACCCCATTGAGTCTGCATAGTATAATGAAGAATGTTACTGACATAACTTGTATGAACTTCCTACTTGTAAACCCCTTAAAAGTAAACTTTCCCCTCCCTCGCTGAGCAGTCTTGGCGGCAGCAGCCCTAACTGTTTCCTTTCCTTGCTCAATGAAATAAAGGTGCATTTCTACTCTCCCACCTCAGTCTCTCATTTATTGGCGAGACGAGTTGCGCTGAGCAGAACCTGAGGTTTCTACCCAGCAACGATTTATTTACAGCATAACTCAGTTGCATATACTTGGTTAAAAACAGGGTAAGATTCCTTTCTGTTTTTGCAGTTTTTTTAGCAATTGCCTGTGATGCATCACATTGTGGTTTAATGCTTATTTAATAATAAAATTGTTTTGTTCCTTTCCACCTTTGTGGAAGGTTTGTCTGGGTTGGGAGCAGTTTTTATTTTTAATTATAATTTCCCCAAAATATATATATTTCTGTTCCAGGATGACAAGTTGCATTTAGTTTTCATGTGTCTTTAGTCTCCTTAAATCTGGAACATTCCTCAGTCTCTTACAGAGTACAGGCCAGCTCTTTCATAAAATGTCCTTCAATGTGGGTTTGTTTAATGTCTTTATTATTAGACTCTGGATGTATATTATTTGGGGCAAAAATACCACAGAAGTGATGAATGATGTGTTCTTCTCAGTGCACCATATCAGGAGGCACATGATAGCCATCTGTCCCTTTACTGGTGACCTTAACCTTCATCTCTTGGGTCAAGTGGTGTCTGTTAGTTTCTACAGTGTAAATTACTTTTCTCCCCCTTTGTAATTAATAAGGAAATATCTTGTGGGTAGATACTTTGAGACTATACAAATAATATATCTCTTATTAAATTTTGAGAGTTAGTTGAACATATGATCTGCTTTAGTACTATACTGGGGTCAACCTTTTTTTTTTTTTAATTTAATTTCTTTTTATTGTTGTAATTAAATGAAGTTTACATTTCAAGTTAGTCTCCCATACAGAATTTTTTTCTTTTTTACATACATTGTTATGAGACCCCAACGGCTCACCCCATTCTGCGACAGCACACTCCTCCCCTCCGTCCCTGATTCCCCATGAACATTCAACCAGCTCCTAACTCTCTCTGCCTTCCCATCTCAC